ATGTCCTGCCCACGCGCCCAGCTCGTCCACAGCGCGCTCAGCTCGTCGCGCCCTCGCACAGCTGCCTCGTTTTCGACCCGCGCGGCTAGTTCTCCAGGTCGTCGGCTTGTCGGCGGCGCGCTCGGCTCGTCCTCCAGACCGCCGCCTCGTTCATTTTCGTGCCGCGTCGGGAGCCCACGACCCCGCTGCGACACCACGCGCCGGCGTGCCTGCTCAAGGACCGCTGCGGGTCGCTGCTCACCGCGCCGGCTGCTGTGGTAAAAACGATGGCGGCAACGGCCTCTAATGCTCGATGTACGACATGCCACGCGGCGCCTCGACCCGTCCGATGCGACGAAGCGTGTGCCCGGTGGCCACTCCGTACAAGTAAGATGAAGCAACAAAGGTTAAACTTCATGTTTAAGTATACTAGTAATTGGCAATGTGTATGGAGCTACGAAGCATGTCTCGTGTACGCAGAGAGCGCGCTTGTTTGAGCCATGCGAAGCAGCTCCGCGGTTGCGGCGACTGCGATCTGTCGTTGGCATTCGGCACCCGCAATGCATCTTTCTACGCAGTCCAGCGGCCTATTCGCGGAGAGCACTATGTGATACCCGAGTAGGGCCTCCGTTGCAACCGTAAGCTGCCTCAGCAGCAGCGGCACAGCGCGATCTCGCGCCCTGGAGCGCCCCGACGCAATAGAATGCGAGACCCGACCCTTTAGCAATCGATCGGCGGGGTCTGTATTTCTTTTTAGAGGTTATAAAGTTTCAATCAAGCAAGCAGCTTTTGGCCTACTCGCCCATTCCAAGTGCGCATCCCCGTTGTGGGTGGCAAGGAAGAACGTCGCGACCAACATGGCAGCGGCAAACGACACGCAGTACGCGGCCTTGCCGATCGCCTTGGCGCGTTGCGGCTCGTAGGCACCGAGCGCGTTGCCAACTCGGATCGTCGTGGCGACCGAGATGCCGAGGAAGAGACTGTACGCCATGGCCGAGAGGTTGATCAAGACCTAATACCACCGTCGCTTATCAAGATTGTGTTGACAGCCGCATATTTACCGAGTGCACACTGATGGAGAGGACGGGATTGGGCATCCAGCCGGCCATGAGCGCCAGCATCTCGAACGCCCACCACTCCATGAGCATCATGAGCATGCCTACGTGTCACCGTTCGTGATGAGTATGTTTCGAGTTTCAAAAAGGGGGTCGTACCCGGCACACCAAACGTGACAAACTCGTACACGTGGGCAAAGGCTTCACCCCACTGCGACGACATGGTGTGCTCGTCCGGCCACCACGTCGTGTACACCGGGTTCCAGAGCAAGTACGGCAGCACCATGAGCGGCATGCAAAAGTTGCTCACCAAGCGCGCATACGCCGCGCCAATAAACCCTACGTCGTCTCATGAGATGTGCCAAGCAAGCAATAAGAACTGTACCGAGGCTCGTGTGGTAGCAGAGGTAGTACCCGACGCCGATGTAGATAAAGTTGCTCGCGACCGCGATGTAAGCCATGGGCGCGACAATGTGCTGGGCCTGCAGCACCTTCTTGAGGAGCTCGTACAAGAAGAGGCTCGGGAGGCAAAACACAGTCACGCGCGAAAACTCGCCAGCCAGCGACGCCACCATCGCGTCTTGGCCGAGGAGGTTGAGGAAGTACGTCGTGTTGTAGTTCATGAGCACCATCGGAATGTACGCGAGCCTACAGTGCACGAGGTTCAACAAGCCGTGTGGACGGACAGGCACTGTACGAGAGGACAATCATGCCACTTTGAAGGTACACGCCGAGCATGTAGATCTTGCCAGCACCGACCGACTGCGAGCAGAGCGTGTCCATGGCCGACGCGAGGCCAAAGCCGATCGACAAGCCAGAGACGTTGAGAAAGACCGTCGAGAGCGCTGCCGCATCCACAAACTCCTTCGTGTACGCCGAGTTGAGGTGGCCAACAAGCGCGACCGAGAGGAAGCCGGGCAGGAACTCCATTGCAAAGGTCGCGACCTACATGGATGCTTATGAGCGCCAAGATGATGCATGTCGCCTACCAACGGATACGCGAGCTGCACGAGCGAGACGATCTCGGCGCGCGTGCTCGTCGGCGTCTCGATGGCCTTCTCGAGGTCGGCGGGCGGCGGGGCGTACGCAGGCGACGCGTCCGTCGGGAGCAAGCTCTGGGCTTCGTCGCTCATGGTGCAATTGGAGAGTGACAAATATGAGCTCGGGTCCTTTCCAATCTGTTGTTCGTGCGCTTCGAATTTAAATAATAATTTATTGTGTGGAAACGGTTGTTTGTAGGAAGAATTGAATATTTGCATTATAATCCCATGCATGCCTGGGACAGTGGTTTAAAAATTGGACCAATCAGTGGGCAGCAATTTGGGTATCGCAAGCCGCCAGATCCAAGCGAGTTCCATTGGCGCCAGTCCATCGCGGGCATGGGTGACGATGAGTGCTCGAATGATGATCGCTTCGGACATCTTCGCTGTGAGGTCTCGCCACGCAGAGATCAGCGACGAAGCATTCGATTGGAATTGGTGGCTGGCAACACACCGAGCGGATACTATGACGTGGCGCGGGCAACGAGCCGTAATCACAAGCGCGCGTTCGACTGAGAAGGTGTACAACAAGTACTCATGCATGGATATTGTCCTTCATGTTGGTGTTGAAACTATCTCATGCTGGGGTCGTTCGAGCAATCTATTGGGGTCCTAACGCTCCTTGTTCGTCGGCGTTGACACTGACGGTCGGACGAGCCCGTGCTGCCGCCGTCGACGTGCTCGCTGTTCCGAGCGGGTCGTCCACGTACAGTGTGCTTCTCCCGCCCACTTGGTACATCGAGTCGCGCAAGATCGCAATACACGACGACTGCAAGAGAGTATACCGTGCGGCTCGCACTGCGTGTCCTGTGTTCACATAGCAGGCTACGTTAACGTTATGTGCTAACCTGGTGGTTCGCGACACCTTTATGACATTAAACATTGTGATACGTTGCGTTTGTAGCAATTTTCCATTTGGTGTTTCGCTCGAAAGGCAAAGGGGAGAAACGGCATGCTCACTTCTCGGATGCCTCGCCAGCCATGCGATCAAATGTACGCCGAGCAACCACGCGCCAGTCTGTGCCCCACAAGATCCATGAAAATATGCAGTAGGCCGCAAGCGGGCCAAACGTTATACCAGCCCAGAGACCCAAGACGTTGCCCCCGAAGTAGAAGCCAAAGAGAGCCGCCATGGGGATCCCCACGCCGTAGTACGCAGCCGCGTTCACGTACGCACCTAGACGTGGATGAGATCACGGTACACAAATGCAGGAAAGAACGCACCAATGGATTGACGACCCATGCCTCGCAGAATGCCTTGGACAACGCAGTTCATGCCGTCGACGAACTCAAAGAGCGCTAGAAAGTACAACGCGCGCTGCGTCTTTCTACACGTATATGCCGCGCCGTGAGGACAAGTTGTCCACATTGGACACTACGTGATGGAGTCGTGGTCCTTGATAAAAAGAGCGGGGAGCACGTTGTGTGTCAGGACGAACAAACCCGCAACAAAGATCGCGGCGACGAACGCAATGCGTTGGGCCAAACTGCTAATGGCGCGCGCACGCATGGGCTCGTTGGCGCCAAGAGCAAGGCCGATGCGAATGGTCGTCGCCTCCGAGATGCCAAAGTAGACGCTGTAAACCAGCACAGTAATCGTCACGAGAACCTATGACAGCATGCGATGGCCATCACGGTACAGGCGCCAAAATGTTTAGAGGTACCGAGTGGACGCTGAGCGAGAGCACAGGGGACGGCAGCCATCCCGCCATGAAGGCAAGGATCTCAAATGCCCACCAATCCATGAGAATCATGAGCATGCCTAAAACAAAGAATGTCACGGAAAAACAAATGCGGAGATTACCTGGAACACCAAGTGCAATGAATTCGGGAACGTGGGCGACTGCGTCACGCCACTGACTTGCCGCCGACGTGTCTGTGGGCCACCACGATTTGTACACGGGGTGCCACGCCAAGTAGAGGAGTGCGAAGAGCGGCATTGCAGCATTGCACGCAATGCGAGCATAAGCGGCGCCGAGGAATCCTAACGCAGCAAACACCGTCAATGATGCGAATATTGACGCTACGTACATACCAATGTCGGTGACGTAGCAAAGGTAATAGCCGACAGCGATAAAGATGGCGTTGCTGAGGACCGCAATGTAAACCATGGGCGACACGATTTCCTGAGCCTGAAGCACCTTCTTGAGAAGCTCGTAGACAAAGATGAGTGGCAGCGAGAAGATGGTGATGCAGGAAAAGTCGCCCGCGAGCGTCGCAACCATCGGGTCTTGCCCCAAGGCTTCGAGAAAGTACGTCGTGTGCCAATTCAGCACCAGCATCGGCACATACGCCAGCCTACAGAGACGTCAGTTGGAGCCATCGTTGTATCCACTTCGTACGAGAGAACAACGAAGCCGCTCTGGAGGTACATGCCGAGAAGATGCTCCTTGCCGGCACCGACGCACTGCGAGCAGAGCGTGTCCATGGCTGTTGTGAGACCGACGCCGATCGAGAGGCCGCAGACGTTGAAGAAGACAGTCGACATGGTGGCTGCGTCCACAAACTCCTTGGTGTGCGGTGAGTTGATGTGTCCCACGAGCACGACGGAGAGGAAACCCGGCAAGATCTCGAGCAAAAAGGTCACAAACTATTGGATCCCAGGTCTACGGATGATGCCGACGTGTGGTGTTGGTTGTACCATGGGGCCTGCCAAGTGGAGGAGAGCGAAAATCTCAGCACGTGGATTGATCGGTGTCTCGAGGGTCATAGCTGCCTCGACGTCGCTGTCGCTGTCGGTCGGCGTGCAGGACGTTGGCAAGCCTGTCGCCTAATAGGTGTTGGCATCATGAACGAGGAGGGCCGATACGATGCATTGATTGTCTACCAACGGGTGGGTGAGCTGGTTGAAGTCGGCGGGTGGTGTGGCGTAGGCATGTGACGCGCCAGTCGAGAGCAAGCTCCTGGCTTCATCCGCCATGGTCAAGTTCCTTGAGTATAGTCTGCCCAGCATTATGAGATCTCTTTTTCTGGACAACAGCTTACTACGGGCCAAGCTTCTTTCTCTCGAGCAAGATGAACGACGGAGCACTTTTCAATTTTGTGTCCATGCCATAGAACAACACAGTCATGGACCCAGGACCAGATGTTCTACATCTTCAAAGAACTATTATAATAGTTCCGTAGATTTTATTCTGGTGGTGGGGGACGCGGACGTTTCGCACAAATACAACCAGAACCGAGGGCTGGGGGTGCTACTCATCACGCATTTGGCGCACAACTATACATCTAGAAATTCGATCCCTCACTGACGGCACACAACCACACCTCCATCTTATGCCATCGCGCTGCGTCATTTCGGAACAAAGATACTAGTAGCGGTGACCAATCAGAAGTACGTTTTGCGGTCCCTTCTATCGTCTCGTGTTCGCTGAACAAACGTCATGCAAGTCTGAAGCGCGGGCACATCATGTGGTAATCCTCAAGGACACCACTCATAGCCAACGGAACTTTCCGAGCACATGCGCCGTGGCGTTTGTAAGACCCACGGTGAGCATCCAAAGCACGTCGCTGTGACTGCGAATGGGCCAGGAGACTTGGAGATCTGCTCGAAGCAAATATGGTATTGAATCATGCTCTCATTGATTCATTTGGACGACAATGCACGCCGAAACCAAGACACTCTTGCCTCCAGACCACCTCGAAGCAGCCACGACGAGCGATGTCTTTCTTCTGGGGCCCCACTCGCTGCGGTCGGAGGTTGCATCGCTTATAAAGCTCGCATACCCGATGGTAGTCTTTCTATCCACTACAAATGACTGACAAGTCGTGAAGGTTGCCACGTATCTGATGGAGTTCCTTCCGGGCTTCCTCTCGGTCGTGCTCGTGGGCCACCTCGAATCGCCCGTCACAAAAGAGTATGTGGACGCAGCCGCGCTCTCTACCGTGTTCTTGAACCTTTCAGGCCTCTCGATTGGCTTTGGTCTTGCCTCAGCGCTGGACACATTTTGCTCTCAAGCTGTTGGCGCTGGAAAGACGAACCTTCTCGGTGGCTACCTCCAGTGCGGCCTCCTCGTCCTTGCGTACGTCCCCCTTGTCATCGTTTGGTTACGCTGCAACTTGTGTAAAATAGGGTGACCTACGTTCCAATGTTCTTTCTCAACTATAACGCGGGGCTCGTTTTGGTTTGGCTTGGTCAAGACCCGGTCGTGGCGTCACTGGCTGGCGAGTTTTCGCGCGTAACCGTGTTTTGTCTCCCGCTTTGCTTTACGTACGAGCTCCTCAAGAAGGTACTGCAGGCCCAGCACATTGTTGCACCCATGGTGTACATTGCAATCACAAGCAACCTCCTCTACGCTGGCGTCGGCTACTACTTCTGCTACTTCACCGACGCAGGTTTGACTCGTCATCACGGAGTGTGCGTTATGTCAAGGCGTCTGTAGGATTTCTCGGCATTGCTTATGCACGCTTGGTCTGCAATACGTCGTTGCCGCTTCTTGCGATCCTTTACATCAAGTACACGCGAGTGCATGGGCAGTGGTGGCCGCAAGGGTCCTCGTGGACCTCGCAGTGGCACGACGCCATACGCCTCGTTGGTGAATTCCTCCGGTTTGGCGTTCCCGGTGTGGACACCAACCCATTTTGAAGCGTATCTTATGATTCGTATACGTCGTAGCCATGGCCATGATGCTCCTCGAATGGTGGGCGCTCGAGATTCTCACGCTCATGGCAGGCTGGATGCCGTCGCCCGTGCTAGCCATCAGCGTGCACTCGGTCGTCGCCAAGAACCACATGTTGTCACATCTGTCTGATAATGGGTATCTAGGTCTTGGTGACGCTGTCATCCATTGCTTTCAGTATCTTTCTCGGACTCTCGATTGCGACGACGATCCGATTGGGCAACGCGATCGGAGCGTACGAGCCGATGCGCGCCAAGTTGATTGTGTCGGCGTCGTACGTCGTTGTCGCGGCTACCGCGACCGTCCTTGGTGCTTTTGTTCTCGCCTTCCGACTCGTTTTGCCGGCGTGGTTCATCAACGACGCGTCTTCCATCCGGTTTGTGATCTCGTCTCTGCTCTTTTGCAAGTACATTCATGCTGGTGCCCTTAGGACGACGCAAGGTGCTCTGTACATCCTGGTTGTGTACCAATTCGTGGATGCGATGAAGATGGCCGCGCAAGGGCTCTTGCGCGGCATGGGACGTCAGGCCATCGGAGCGCACGTAAATGCTGTCGCGTACTGCGCGATTGGACTACCGCTAGCTGCTCTTTTCGGGTTTCTCGTCGACTTGGACGTACCGGGGCTTTGGATGGGCATGACGATCGGTGTCTCGTCAGCGTTCGTCTTCTTTACAGTGAACCTTGCGCGAACCAACTGGCGCCGCGTGGCTGACGACGCTGCGAGTCGCATGGACAAGTAAATCGTTGCCTTTCCGGTTGAGCTTGCTAACCCTAACCGTTCTACATCAACACAATCATGGAGTTTTCGTGACTGCTATTTGGTGCTTGTGTACGAGAATCCACAGCCACGCAAGGTCAAATACTACTAGTTTTGGTTAGAGCCAGCGCGCTTGTGGCGTCCTATCACCGCTGTCTCGCGCACTATTGACTTTAGTCTGTTGCATTGACCGCTGGTGCCGAGCCCCGACGCCGACCACACGCTTGTTGTTCCGCGTACTCGGCTGCACCCACGTCTCGGGATTTTGACATTGTCCGTCGGTCGATGATTCGACTCGAGTATTCCTTTGAGAGCGAGGCGATGTGCCCGTGACAGTTTTTCTTGGGCACACAAAGCCATGGGCTGCATCCCATTTGGCGCCAGACACCCGCTCAATGTCGGCGACCGCGTGCTTGGGGTCGACTACCAGCGCGGCTGTCCGGTGGACATCGCGCTGGAGTGGTGACCGCTTTCCGTCCACAGCTGCGCAGCGTGGTGGTGACGGCGACGTGTCTTTGGGTGGCGACACGGATCCGTGGCGTGGGTTCGGGTCAGTGCGCACCCGAGGCTTCTATAGGACCATTGTGATCGCTAGGCGCAAGAAAAACATACCGCTGTTGATGTGGCGTCGTGCTTCTCGGACCACGCAGTGGACTTGCGGAACGAGCCTTTCTGGATGTTTGCACCCGACGGATTCGTATTCGCACTCTACTCATACCACATTAGCGCCTAGGAAATGCGAATGGAGAAACGTCGCCGCAGCGAGTGTACCATGAGCATAGTGGGCGTGACTGACGTTGCAGCTTTGCGCAGAAGTGGGCTGCCTTGTGACGTGGCACCTCGTGCCTTCGACTGTCGCGCGCGCGAGCGATGGTGAGCAGACTTTGGCCGCTTGTCCGAGACCGTGAACGTGATGCTGGCGAGACCTTCGGACGACATGGAGAGCACGGTCGGCTTGGGCGGGGCGCTGCGTCGGCTCGACATAGACTCCAGATGATGAGTTCTAAATATGGAAATCGATGAGGTACTGTACAGGAATGATACTAGCTATCCAGACGGTCGATTGTCTGCAGAGCAACATAGAAAGGTGGTTGAGAATATTGTCTTGAACGTCATCGCACGCACCACGTGACGAGCTCGACAACGTCTCCGTAATCGAAGGCGGTCACGTCTCGCCCAGCAGCCCCGGCTTCCTTGACCGAGCACGCGTTCGATCGACTCGTGCCCACACAGCGCACACTTCCAATGGCGCAACGTCACCAATGGCCAAAGTGGCGTCGTCCGTCCCCAACAAGTAATCGAATGTGAAGTGACGTATTAGTAGAATTGAACGAAGTGCTGTTCAAGCTCTGCAAGCGATTGGTCGTCAAGGACACCAAGTAAACAGAGTCAATGTGGCGAGGGATGCTACGTATCACGCCACTCTAGCGTGCATGGGACGGACTTCAATGGAAATGTTTCTTACCGTCACATATACTCGTAGAAACTTCCGTGGTGGTCATGGATTGTGATCAGCGGTTGGAAGTGGGCCGAGTGCGATTCATCATGGAGGGAGAAGTAAGCATGATCGCCATGAGGACCAAGGACGCCGGTGGTACTACGCACAACGGCACACTTTAATGACTAATTACATTACTGGGTCAAACCAAGGGTCACATTGTCATACCTTATTACTATTAGTATCAAGTTAAGTAGTAAGATGGTATTGACTGTGAATCCGCCCAACTTCTCGCTCGTGCTTGGAATGCTGGAGAGATGGGTTGTATCCCACTGGTTGTATCCGGGCGACTCAACTACCGGTACTAACCGGTTTGTCCGGTTACGGTCACCATTGCGGTGCAACAATTGGACTGGACGACGATGGCAAGTGACATGAGCAACGATCCTCTGCCGACGCTCCAAGATGACGCATCGGCGCCGGACGCCGTGAGCAGCACGTCCGGCAAGCGCGCACTTCGCCGCCAAAAGCGGCAAGAGATCTGGGTCTCTGTTAAAGAGCGCAAGAAGCAGAAGAAGGAAGAGGCGCGGGCCGCGCGGCCAAAGGTTCCAGAGCCGGCCCTCGACATGAGCGAGGCCGCCGTTCTAATGCGGAAGGAGCGCGCAATTGCGAAGCGCGAGTCCTTCCTCATGGCTGCGTCCGAAGGCCCCACGATCGTCATTGACTGCGGCTTTGAAGAGGCCATGAGCTCCAAGGAAAAGAAGTCGCTGACCCAGCAGATCATGTACGGACGGAATCCGCAGAAGGGCTCTCATTCAATCCGGCTAGGTTCTCCTATGGCATCAACAAGCGCAGCGAGACGCCAGCAAAGTATTCCTCCTCGGTTGTGGCACGAGCAGGCGCCTAACGTGGCGTAGCGTGCACGTGACGTCGGTGCGTGGTGAGGCCGAAGCCAATTTGACCAAGATCGGCGGCTTCAACGACTGGCTCGCCGTACGGCCGACGCACTGTCTGTTATCCACAATGTCTGACCTCTGATATAGTTTAGCACGACGCCAAAGTGCTATATGGACGTCTTCCGGAAGGAGTCGCTCGTCTACTTGACGGCCGACTCGCCCAACGTAATTGACGAGCTTCAATCGGACAAGGTACTGCGAAGAGTTTGCTAAGATCTGGCTGATTTGGATGATTTATAGGTGTACATCATTGGTGGCATCGTCGACCGCAACCGTCTCAAGGGCGTGACCTACGAGAAGGCGGTTGCGCAGGGGATTGCGACGGCCAAGCTGCCGCTCGACAAGGTCCTCGAGATGGGTCAGGCCACGCGCGTGTTGACTGTCAACCATGGTACCCATTTGATCTCCACACCGCCGTCTGAGTGTTGTCGTTGTAGTGTTCCAGATTCTCGTCAACTACCGGACCGCGCAGGACTGGACCCAGGCGACGCTGAGTGCGCTGCCGGCGCGGAAAGGCGCACAAGTCAAGAGCGGCGAGTAGAGACACGTCATGCAACGTAGAAATTTTAAATGCCACCGGCTCGGTTAGCGCAAGCACTGCAGCGCCTGCTCGAGGCGCTGAATCGCGAGCTCAACGTCCTTGATCTACACACGGCGCATCGGTAAGATTCGCAGTGACTTAGCGACTTACCTTGAGCGCCGCCGTCGCAAACTTGGAACACTCCATCGCATCGTTGATATCATTCTGGGACCACCCACCCGTACGGCGTGGCCCACTGGGACGCACGACCGGCGCCGTTGGAGCCTCCGGGAGGGTCATCACGGGCGCATTGTACACTGGGGGAGGCGTGTACACCGGCGGCGGTGGAGAGCTCTGGCGCGGCGGAGCTACACCATAGGATGATAAATATGTGCTCGAGCAGAAATGGCATACCTGGCGGGGGCTGGTAGGCAGGAGCCGCAGCAGGCATCGGAGGTGCGTGTACTTCGGGTGCGTAAGAGTACGACGCCATGTTGGGGAAGTCCGGGACAGACGGCGCAGCCGGCGACGGTGGAGCCATACTCATGCTCGGAGGCGGGGCCATCGCCATGCTCGGGGGTACCTTGGGGACGTACGATGTCGGAGCAAACGGGGCTGGCGCCTCGCTCTCTGCGTTGTCGGCCATCTGCGCGGGACGATGCAAATCAACGAAGAAGCCTCGGCTACTTTTGTTGTACCTGTTCGCTGGGAGCCCCAGGCGTCGGCGCTCGGCCTTCCTTGATGGCCTTGAGAATATCCGCCGCCTTGTACTTGCTGTACTTTGTCTTCTCGATGATGTCTTCGCTGGGCATGCCGAACTGCTTGAGGATGTCGAAGAAGCTACCCGCTGCGTAGAACGTCCGCGCCGTGTTCCTAGTTTCCACGGATTAGCCCATGCCTCGACGCGTGGTCGTACTTGTTGGCGCTGCCGGCGCGGTCTTCTTCGTCCGCGCGCATGAAGATGTCAAAGGCAAAGTTCTCGCAGATGATGCGTCCTTCCTCCTGCGAGTGCGCGGGCAGCGCCGCCTTCTCCGACTCGAGGCTCTCCATGAGCGAGAGCAGGTAGGTCGTCGCCTCGTCCGACGCGTCGTTCTCGCGCAGCTTGATGCCGAGCTCCATGGCGTACTGCCGGCAGTAGTATGCGACCATCTTGCTCTCGGGCCGCGTCCGGTCGCGGTCGAGCTCCTCGGCGCGCCGGATGAAGGGCGTGATGGCCTTGAACGTCGCGGGGATCTTGCTCGCCATGACCAGAATTACTGTGACGAAGAACGCCCAGCCAGGCCGCTCAGAGTGTAGGTGTCCTTCGGACGTTCACTCTCGTGGACAGGATGCCACCTATTTGTGGCATTTTGTGCCAAATATACCAAATATGCTGCGTGTATATGCCACATTTAGGACTCTGTGACATGCGAGCCCCATTTTCACAACTTTGGATCGACAAAGGAATTTGGTCCGAGTCCTGAACATATTACTCATACTACAGTATTAGTTGGAGACAGAGCGTCTACAGCTGGAGCATTTCCAGACTTACCTCGTAGCGAGTGATGCGAGACGGCAAGGAGCTGCACGCGATGACTAGTACTAGGACGACGCGTCGGCCATGCGATCGAATGTATTCCTCGCGGCTGCGCGCCAGTCCGTGCCCCGCAAAATCCATGAAAAGATGCAGCACGCCGTGAAGAGGCCGATGGCGATACCAGTCCAGAGACCAAAGACGTTGCCCTCGAAGTAGAAGCCAAAGAGAGCCGCCATGGGGATCCCCACGCCGTAGTACGCAGCCGCGTTCACGTACGCACCTAGACGTGGATGAGATCACGGTACACAAATGCAGGAAAGAACACACCAATGGATTGACGACCCATGCCTCGCAGAATGCCTTGGACAACGCAGTTTGTGCCGTCGACAAATTCAAAGAGCGCGAGCAGATACAAGGCGCGCTGCGTTTCTCTACACGGCATGACATTAGGACAAGTTGTCCACATTGAGAAGAGAGTAGTACGCAATCGCGTCGGGGTCGTTGATGAAGAGAGCGGGAAGCACGTTGTGTGTCAGGACGAACAAACCCGCAACAAAGATCGCGGCGACGAACGCGATGCGTTGGGCCAAATTGCTAATGGCGTGCGCACGCATGGGCTCGTTGGCGCCAAGAGCAAGGCCGATACGCACAGTCGTCGCCTCCGAGATGCCAAAGTAGACGCTGTAGACGAGCGACGTAATGTTCACCAGAACCTATTGGCCTGTCACGGGATAACAATAAAGAGATGAAAAATACCGAGTGGACGCTGAGCGAGAGCACAGGGGACGGCAGCCATCCCGCCATGAAGGCGAGG